AGCCTGTTGGGGGCCCGGAACAAGAGAGGGGCAATAAATAAACCAAACAGATAAAAAAATAGACTAATACCTACCTTCATAACTTTACTAAAATTATATTTTATTATGCCTGAATCACAATCTCCGTTTTAAACACTCAAATGCGTGCGAAAAAAGGCCTTAAAAAAAAGGCTTTTAAGTTGCTAAGTAACTATACTTCAAGTATGACTTTTGAAACTGTCATCTGGGGCTGAAATAAAAGATCCTCTTAGGTCGCTTTCTGTAAATGCAGAACATTTCTTTGGCTTGCACCTATCCTTTGGTTGAAGGTTTCACAAACGCGCGTAATTTAGGGTATACTTTCAAATCTGTTCCACTTTTAATCTCAGCATTGTTTAAAGTTTTGAGTTAATGCACCAAAAGATAGGAAATTTAAATACCTTTGAGATTTCCTTCATATATCCCAGCATTATCTACGCATTTAAGACTTTATTCGTAAGTAACTTCCTTTTCATCCATGGAAACAACTTTTCATATTCTTTTAATAGGCATTACTGGATTTGGATTTTACACCTACCAACGTTTGTTTAGATTTTACAAGAAGCGATTTAATGGACGGTGTATTATCTTTTTCAACGGAAATCGTTTTATTTACAAAGACGATTTTTATAAGCAAACGTCAAGTGAGATTTCCATGGCAATCGTGAAATTTCGAACACCCAGCCCACTTAATTAAACATGTATTCGAGTATAACGTCAATATGATTTCATTGTATTTCCTATTTTCTGCAGGTATAATAAAAAATACTATAAGATACACGTGTATAATTGGTCTTTAAAGCACTTGCAATGTTAAAGGCACTCCGCTTTGCGTCGTGCCCTTAAACTCGTTGCGCGTGCTTTAAAGACTTGATTATACACTTGTATCTTAATATACTATATTGAACTTATTAATTTCTCCGTACTAACAAACGTTTTAAGATATAAATTTATTTTTGGTTCATAGTGAAGCTAGTGGTGAAGTTTAAAAAATATGAATTCCATAAAAAAATATTAATTTATTCAGTACATAATGTTATTACCAAAACAAACAAAAAATACTTAATCCAAGACAGAGTAATAAAAAATTTAAATACAAACAAGCATCTTTAATAAAATCTTACACCAAATATTATACCGGCATGCCACAGTTTACAGCTAGTATGCACCGAGGTATGCACTATACGAGTCAATGAAGTAAAACGATGCGTCATTTTAATTCTGATGTATATTAGCGCATGCGCAAACCTATTTATTTCCTTCTTTTCCTTTTAATTCCTTTTAATTTCCTACTAATACCTCATAATACCTTTAATTTCCTCGGAAATTCTCAAAATACCTATTAATTCCTTTTAATACTTTCGAAATACCCTAATTCCCTCTTAATTCCTTCCAACTTGTACACTATTTCCTCCAGCGGTTTACCCCTCGGCAGTGGCATAACCTATCACAAACAGCTTGAAATAAAAATTAATTCCTTCTACGCGGGTACTAACGTGTTACGTCATTGAAAAGAGAAAAAAAATCTCCTAATAAAAGTGTGCATTACTATTTAAAAAAAAAATTCAATTGTTTTTTGTGACTCATTTGTTTTCTGAAATAAAAACAATGGAATGCAGTCTTATCATGGGAAAGTAAAATGTTAAAGAAATTTTATATACAAAAATTTTGTATACAGTTGATATTTACCCTCGTATTTACCGAGATATATATTTATATAGGTACTATATTCCATTTATATTGGGCACCCTGTATATTTCTGCCCCTGTGACAGTCATACTCATCATTTAGGTGTCTAAGCCCCAGTTGCACCAACAAAATTAAGCCTTGCTTAAAATTAAGTCGAACTTAAAATCTATGGCAACGATTATTGAGACAATCGGTGCTATGGTATTTGAGTTATGCTTAACTTTAAGGGATACTTAATTTTGACGGTACAATTGGCCCTAAATATATGTTTTCAAGGGCAAGGAATCGACTAAAATGGTTTACAAAGTTGCGTGAATGCTATTTATTAAAAAAAGTGTACTAATGGATTTACAAGGCTCCTCTTTACAGGGCTTAATCCGCAATTTAAAAACTGGCCTACATTACGGTAAAATTTATGCCGTTGCATCTTAAAACCTGGATTAATAATAAACGTAAAGTTTTTTTTACAGACAGGTAAACTAAAATTGATGAAAATAGATTATCATCAAAGGATGGGAATGAGACTGACAATGTTCACCAAGAAATTTTTATTTGACGTGGAGAAGTGTATTAGTTGCCAGGCCGCAGACAGTACCACAGTTAATGGAAGAAATAGAATACAACCAGCAGTCGCCATAAGAGATGACATAGTTGCAAAAAGGTTAAAAAGTGTGACTTCTGATATTGTGTTTCTGTATCGCGTGACAAACCAGTGCGATAATAGGTTCACTTAAAAAATTCTTAAAAAAATAACAGCAGTGAGGTATCAGAAGGCGAAGGTGAGCGTGTCAATGACGAAATCTCTAGGAAAACAAGATCATATGTTGTACCATGACAGACTTCTTCCTCAATTGTTCATCCAACACATATTCCATGTATCATTCGTGAGCAAACACATTGTGAGGATGAGATAACCTTAAGTTCATATGATAGATACTAAAAATGAGGAATTGATGTGTGATGAATAGTATATTAAGATACAAGTGTATAATCAAGTCTTTAAAGCACGCGCAAGGAGTTTAAGAGCACGACGCAAAGCGGAGTGCCTTTAACGTTGCAAGTGCTTTAAAGACTAATTATACACGTGTATCTTATAGTATTTTTTATTATACCTGCAGTATAATTTAAAAATAGGAAACACAATGAAGTCATATTGACGTTATACTCGAATACATGTCTAATTAAGTGGGCTGGGTGTTCGTAATTTCACGATTGCCATGGAAATGTCACTTGATGTTTGCTTATAAAAATCATCGTCTTTATGAATTAAACGATTTCCGTTGAAAAAGATAATTCACCGCCCATTAAATCGATTGTTGTAAAATCTAAACAAACGTTGGTAGGTGTAAAATCCAACTCCAGTAAAGCCTATTATAAAGAATATGAAAAGTTGTTTCCATGGATGAATAGGAAGTTACTTACAAATACAGTCTTAAATGCATCCATAATGCTGGCATATATGAAGGAAATGTCAAAGGTATTTAAATCTTCTATATTTTGGTGCATTCATTCAAAACTTTAAAGCAATGCTGCGATTAAAAAGTGGAACAGATTTGGAAGCATGCCCAAAATTACGCGCGTTTGTGAAAGCTTCAACCAAAGGATAGATACAAAAGCCAAAGAAATGTTCTGCATTTACAAAAAGCGACCTAGAGGAGTTTTTATTTCATCCAGATGACAGTTTCAAAAGTCATACTTGAAGTATCGTTACTTAGCAACTTTAGAGCACGTGTGTTTTAAAGGCCCTTTTTCGCACGCATTTGAGTGTTTAAAACGGAGATTGTGATTCAGGTATAATAAAAAGTTAATTGAGACTCAAAATTGTTTATTGTATTGTTTTTTAAATAATTTAGGTGAGTCCACGATTTTAATAATGATTACCTTACTTACCTTGCTATTTCAGGTCTTACTCCAGTTCAATGTTCATATTAATATAAAAAAAAATTTCAATGTTCTTGTCTCCGCAATTTTATCAGCATAATATGTACAATTGTATAATTTAAACGGTAACTTGATTTTTGCTTTATACACGTTTTTCATGTAAAATATTTCAGTTCGGCCTGAAGATGACGTTCTCGTCGAAATCGATAGACGTAAGAAAATAAACAATTTTGAATCTCAATTAATTTTCATCACATATTAATAATCACTCAAACTAAAAATGGAGTCCTTCATCAACAGAGGAATTGATGATTTTCTCGTCCAAACCAAGAAAATGGCTTGCTGTTCTTTAACGTTTTTCCAAGAATTTTCTTGAATATGCTTACAAGCAAACACACGAGTGTCTTCATACCGGATCTGCCATACTTGTATAAACGCCCGAACTGTACCCTTGATGCCCACAATACATGGAATATGTGTTGGAATATGTGGAATATGGATGCACAATTGATAAAGGAGATTGTCGTCTCACTTTCTAATATTTCACTTTTATCCTTTCTGTTGCTATTTTTTCAAGCGTTTTTTTAAATATAGGTACGTTTTATAGCACTGATTTGCCACGTGGCACACAAACACAACATCAGAAGCAGAAGCCATACTTTTTAACCTTTTTGCATACGTCATCCTGATAAATAATACACTTGTCCACGTCAAATAAACCATTTAGTTTTCTTAGTGAACAGTTCATCCATTTTCATCCATTAGTTTACCTGTACATAGATACCTATTACAGTAATCTAGGTCATTTTTTAAATTGCGGCTTAATCCCTGTAAAGAGGTGTCCTGTAAAACATTTAGTACTATTTTTCTTTAATAAATAGCGCCCAGGCGACTTCATAAACCATCTTAATAGATTCCTTGCCCTTGAAAACATATATTTGGACACCAAAATGATGAGTATGAGTGACACAAGTCAAAAAAATCCCGTCCAGAATACGGTGATGTCTACTCTGATTCTCCTATATGTACTTCATTCGATTCTGTTAGACAAATCAGTACTTACTAAAATTTTTACGGGATTCCAGTACTACATGGACTGTATTAGATTTGATTTCAAAGAAGGTTACATAGACATAAGAACTCTATGGAAAGTTTAAAATTCCTGGTTTAGAACAAAGTGTTGGGGAAGCAGTATTTTAACCACCCTTGGAGTATCTGTGACGGCTGCAAGCGTGAAGGTAGCAGTACATATCTTACACTAAGATGGGTCAATCGGATGCAAATTAATACAATGCGATCAAAAATGATTGGCTGTCTAGTCGCCTTTGGAATTTTTGTTTACATGGGAAATCCTATTTAACTTGAACTTCCTAAGGCGACTCGACAGCCAATCATTTTTGATCGCCCGATACTATAGTTAAGGCTTCATTTCTTTATCTATAATCACACTATCCGAACGCTCACAGATCTAATTTTTTTTCAATTACGTCACAGAGATCGCCTAAACTGTTTATGTAATAATTTGGAACAAGGTTATCACTTTTACTATTCTTCATTTCTTCCATGGTAGACACCCCAGTAAATACCAACAACGTTTGGTACCCGCAGCTTGAACCGAACTGGATATCCTGCTCAATTCTGCAGAAGAGAAGATACATAGTAAATCTGGAAGGTCACTAAAACTTACGAATCGCCCACGAACAGCACTCTCGACGGATTCCGAGTAGCATACTTTGTCGCGACGTACTTTTGGAGATTTTTCGAAGGCTTTCCGAATGCTAGAGGCGTTCGTCCGGTTATTTCCACCAAGGAACTTTGATAGAAGTGGGGCCCTAAGAGGAAATTTCACAATAACGTTTTCCCCCCAAAGAATTTACCTGGTAGAACGATTTCGGAATCAATATGGATTTTTCGATCAGTAGCGCCTGTTATAAGGAGAACATCGGGGCGTCGAAGGAAAGCGATTGAACGTGACAGTTTGATATTCGACAAATGAATATCGTAATCACAGATGACCGCTCCGATACTTATATTATCCTCAACTAATTCGCGTATTGCTTCATATGTATCGACGGTCTTCTCATACTACGGAATGGTTTAGTTAAAATCCCCATTAAAATTCGAGTATTACCTCCGTATTCGCCAAGCAAAGTCCAGCGTTTTGGAAGTCGTCCTTCATGAACTTGGTTCCAAGAATAAATATCTCCTTGTCGAAGCGTACCCGCTTTAGGTAGGCGATGATAGCGTGACTCGGTACGATAAGATCGTCATCTGTTATATCTGGGTCAAACTTTTTCAATAATCTGAGATAGCCTGAAGTTCCAAAGGCGCTGTTGTTGGAGATGAAATGGACGTCCTTTCCACATTTTCTTAGCTTTTCGAGTGATTCCTTTGCTCTCGCGATAGGACGACTCAAATTCCAAATGACACCTATAATTACAAAAAAAAATGGTGATATTAGTAGGTATATAGTAATTTTGGCGTCATATGAACATCTTGGTACCAATTTATGACGCTTCAACATGAGAATAAAATAAAATGGAATGGAATACGACATTTTCTAGTCCACAAATTTTGTTTTAGGATTCACTCAATTGGAAATGGCTTTGTAAGTAACAGAACGATAGAATGACCATAAATAAATCTCATTGTGGAAGAAAATTTAAGAACATAGAAAATTACTGCCTGGTCCATCTTTCATTTCAACCACCTAAGGAACAATTTCCTACATATACCGATTGGACACTTGCCTCCGATAGAACACGTGTCCAATGAATTCCACATAGAAGATAATTTATCTTCAAATTTAATGTGAACATGAATCAGATTTTGAATTGCATTCTTGAATTCATTGGATCATTTCAATTAAAATGATATTACACAAACCCAATTTGGTCATAAATAGAATGCTACCAGGATTTTTAGCCATACCTGACATAAGCAATTGGCATACAGAATTGGATAGAAGTGATTTAATATAAGAAGAAAGCGATCAAATACAGTGCAGTTTTTAGTTTTCATCATCTTTAAGTGAGCCAAAAACATCACTACGTACCTACATTTTAAAAGCCAAGCATAGGCGAATAAGAATGAAATATCTAACTTACCATCGCAATCGCATAAAACGGTATCGAACGAATTTAGAAACTCTCTCATTTCGCCACTGGTTAACTCCGACAAATCTTTAGGAACCATTCTTAATGCGGCTGTACCTGACTTCCGACTAGCAAAAAACGCTGTGAACATGTAAGGAGAAAAACACAACCGCATGAGTAATGCAACTTTATCTAAACCGATAAGTGCCACACTCATGGATAAGTACTATATACGTACCTACTTTGGTGTAGCATTAGCTACCTACGTGCGGTATTGTCATTATAATTTCACTCCAGTTATGCAAATTTTCCGTTTCTAGTTTGGTGATTAGCATTAGATGAGAAAGATCAATGTCAAAGGGGTAAAAACTTTAGTTAATAATACTGTCGTTTATTATCCAAGCCTATGAAGCAATTTTTCTGTATTATTTATTTATTTATTTATTTATTTATTCATTCCAAACAGGCGTACGCCTAATTACATGAAATGTAAACTAACTTAAACAATTGAGAAAGCCTAAAATCAAACTGTACTATTGTATGTCACTATATTGCAGAGTCCCAAGGAGTTTTAATTAGACGAATAGTAGACGATAACAAGTTTTGAAAATTTTTTAAACGGCAACGATAAATCAAGATCAATAATTAACGTTAGCAACTGATTCAACAAACGCAACATAGCTAAGAGGGGTGAGTGGAAGCGAAAAGTAGTCGTCGGAATGTGAAACATATCAGTTGAACGTGTCGCCCGATTAGGAACTTTAAGAGTCATTAAGGATAGCAGATAGCTTTGGTCCACTAGATTATTCCATAGTTTATGACCAAACTGTACCAAAGCTATGCTTCTGCGATTAGCAAGACTTTGTATTTCAAATTCATGCCTGAGATCTGCAGATCTAACATTAAATTAAATAGCATTATGCGGGTCACTCTGTAATTGGGCGCATGCCTGTTGAGGGCCCAAAACAAGAGAGGGCTAATAAAATAAAATAAAAAAAATAAAATAAAATTCGGGGTAGGTGTTATTTTTTTTAAAATATAGGAATCTTAGAAATCTATTTTGAACTTTTTCGATGCGTTTTATTTGGTAAAGTGTATGGGGATGCCAAACTACGGATGCATACTCTAGCCTGGGTCTGACCAGCGTGAAGTACAAGATTTTTAACGTACGAATGCATTTAAAATTAGCAGATTGTCTAAGAACAAAACATTTTGTAAGCGCTAGTAGCAATGTTTTCAATGTGTTTATTAACGTTGAGAGAAGAATCATACACAACACCAAGGTCTTTGATAGATTCCACTCGTTTTAGTTTTGTTCCAAACATGTCGTAATCGAATCTTATATTGATTCTGGTGCGAAATATAGATAAAACTAGGCATTTGGAGATATTTAGTGGAAGTTTATTGTTAAGGCTCCACTTAAGTAGACGGTCTATGTCCTTTTGAAGGAGGTTACAATCCTCAACAGAGACGACCTCAGAATAGATTTTTAAGTCATCTGCGAACATAAGTGAGTTTGAGGTAATTATGGATATACGCAAATCGTTAATAAAGATCAAAAACAACAGTGGTCCTAGGTTGGACCCTTGAGGTACACCTGAATTGGCCTCAAACTTTCCTGAAGTATTACCATCAAATTTTACTTTGAAGGTGCGATTTTTTAGATATGAAGCAAAAAAATTTAGCCAATGGAGAGTTAGTCCATGTAAATACAGTTTTCCCAGTAACAAATCATGATCCACTTTGTCGAAAGCTTTGGTAAAATCTGTATAGATCACGTCAACTTGTTGTTTGGAGTCTAGAGATTCCTGGACGTGATTAGTAAAAGTTAATAGGTTTGTTAAAGTAGATTTCTGGGACACGAACCCGTGTTGGGAATCATCTAATGAAGGTTTTATATGGATAAACAGTTTTGTGTGCAATATTAGTTCAAAAAGTTTAGCGGGCGCTGAAAGTATTGCTATAGGTCGGTAGTTTTCAACCAATTTCTTATTCCCGGATTTGTGAATTGGTACGACATTTCTGTAGTCTTCTGCTGTAATTTTATTTAGTGTGAACATATCGTTCGAGATAACTTTACGGTCATTCGGAAAGTTGGTTGCATAGGGAGAGGCATTTTTTAAATCGAATTATTACCAACATACGTATACGTTGGCAGACAAAGTTTCGGTCAAATTTTCTTTATCTAGCAGCATGTCTCCACTGTTATCCACTTGACTCTTCACTCATTGTCTCTTGACTCATTGTGTGGTCAGAGATCACTTCTTCCAAAATACATACAAGTTAAATTTTCTTTTAAGAATAGCGACCCAATAATTTGATTCCTGTTCGAGAATTGGTTTTCTGTAGGAACTAAATGCGAACTTCTCAACTCCCAACTCCATGACATTATTATGTATTATTATTGTGCTACGGGTGGTCCCAGTCGATTGCTGCACTGGGACCTTTTGGTCTATTGTGCTCCCCGGTATTGCCTACCCAGCACCTGTGGGTACCTTTAACAGAGTCCAGGATTTTGATAGGTTACTTCCTCTTGTGTATTCTTTTCATTTCCAAGTAGGTGCTCCCTTGCCTTTGCGTATGCATCACATTGGTAAATGACGTGGTGTGGCGTTTTCTTCCTCATCATACCCCTGCATAACGGGCTGCCAGTCAGTTCCATTTTTTGCAGGTGTTTGTTCAAACAACAGTGGCCTGTGACCATCTCTGCCGCAAGATTTATGTTCCAGTTTCTAGAAAGATCTTGGAATAGTAATGTCCTGGTATCTTCGGCCAGTGTCTGCAGTTTTCCCTGAATCTGCTTTTTGGCTGTGGTATATGTAACCCCACAGGCTATGAATGGTTTCGCGAGAGACGTTCATATAAAACTTTTGATTTTGTTCTGTTATAATTTGAAAAATTGCATAAAAATTCATTGGACTGCTAAACAAATGTTTGTTATACGTTTATACGCTAGTTCTAACCTATGCAAAAAGAAAATTGCGGCCACCAATTAGTTGAAATACAGAAAGCAGAATAATTACGATCCGATTTAACTTTGTAGAGCACCTCGAGAAGGAAAAGGGAATTGGCCACGGCTAATCAGAGGAAACTGGTCTTCCAGTGAAGAAACCACCGAGGTTTGACAAAGCTCATATAATTTCTGTGCACAAGCCACGCCAAAAAGTAAATAAACATAAACACTAAAAATAAAGTCAGAATACAAACTTCGGGAATCCTCAGGCACTAGTGGGTATAAACACCTTTGTCTTGGCAAAAAATCTGCATATAGACAAAACATTTTTAATTAAATAAAACAGTAAATATGTAGATTAGTTTAAATTATTAATTTAAACAATTTCAGGGTGATGACTCGAATTTTCCAATTCAAATATTAACATCTTTCGCAGAAATCAGAACCTGTCATTTCAACGACAAAAGCAAAAGTGGTGTTGTCTACCATAACTACTCCTAACACACTAAGAGCGCATTCAACGAAATAACGGGACAATACAACAGCAAAGGGTGCTTCGTTGATCAAGTTGCTTTAAATGGACTCGAGAGAAATTATACGTATGTAAAAATTAAAGGATAAAAAGGATGAAGGGTAGTTTGCACCCCTTAATTAAACACTATACAATTTGAAATGGGTCTTTATAGCACAGTAACATTCACTCGATAGGCTGCTTCATTCACGACGGTCTTTCTTGAGAGTTGAAATTGCAAAACGGCGATTTTTAAAAATTTAATATTGATTTTGTTCATCGAAATGTGTTTTTTATGGAGTTAATTGGGATGTCCCCTGCTCTTTTGTTTTTTTCATCGAAACATTTTTTTATCATTCCGGAATGCTGTTTCTTTGTTTTTGTTTTTATTTTAAAACGATATTAATTGGGATGGGTGGGATCCTAGGTGGGATCTTTATTCCTTGCTCTTTTGGTTTTTTTAATGGGATCGTTGTCCCCTGCTCAATTTTAACTGAATGAGCGTTTCCGACAAATAAATAGAAAGGGTTACAGCTTTGAATACCTAGTTAAAAGTTCTCCCTTTTCGAAAGATAAAGGTGCCCGGAACAATATTTTTTCTTAAAGGTCTCAATCTCGGCTGATTGAAACCGTATTGTATTACGTAAAATTATTACGTAACTTTAATTCACGAGTATTTTCATTTACGACGACGATTGGTGTAGTCAGTTTCAATGAGAATATTCATGTAAATGGATTCAACTTTGTTAGCCATAAGGTATGTATTCGTTGGTACGTGGCGTGGTACGATATAAGGTATACTTTCGCAGAACTCATAGTAAACGTATCGAATTTGTAGATAAGAAAAAATGTAAGGTTACTTGGAAATAGGATTTATATTTATATTCAATTTTTTTATTCGTCATTTTGTATTTATTGCTTGCAATCAATCAACTAAAAATAGGTCAACAGTCAACAGGCAAAGGCAAAAGATAACTGCAGTGATATTCATTATATAGCTAGCCGGCGGGCAATTTTGGACAAAAATTAATTTTGCAATTTCAAGGTTCGTCTTAATTAGCACGATTAAGAAGTGTCAACCCCTTATTATTTGTAACACCAGTTACAATATCGTAACAAAACTATTAAAAAACTCCCCTTTCCCTTCCGTATACGCGCATTTTAGCAAAATTTTCAAATTTATGGTTCTCCTCAATTACCCATTAACTAGCAGACGAAAACCTTTCATACACAAATTTACACGTTGTTTCCTAGATTATAAAAAATGTTAAATTGTTTTTACTTTCTCGCTCTAACTGTTACCCTTATAATTAATCTTAGGGTCTTTGTTTCATGTGCCATTTGCGATATACTCTCTGGATGTATAACATTTTCAGTCAATACATTTGTTTTTATGGAACCTAACTGTCAAATAGAGTTAACAATAAGCTGAAAAAACTACCCTTAGCCGTAGCGGTTTTTTTAAGTCAAAATGGTGCGTTTAATGTGAGGTTAAAGAGTGTTTCATGTTTATTTGGCTAATTAATCGGGTGTGAAGGAAATAAAGCTTCTGTGCTTAGAAATAGCCGTTATAATGATATTTTAAAATGGTAGATAGTAAAGAAGTAAAACAGTGGTACCAAAAGGCAGCCCTGGAAAAAAAATCATAACAGCGGTGCAAGGGTAAATGGACACTCACCCTATTTACCACCAAATCAGTGCAATCATTGAATAGCGAATTTTTCACTCAACGGGCAACTTA